GACACCCCACCTGGTACAGAGGTGGGCATCATTAACGTGCAGGATAGAGACTCTGAGACTAACAGACAGGTCCGCTGCTCCATTCAGCAAAATGTCCCTTTTAAGTTGGTTCCTTCTATTAAAAACTATTATTCTGTGGTGAGCACAGGACAACTGGACCGTGAACTAGTGTCTGATTACAACATTACAATCACTGCCACTGACGAGGGCTCTCCACCTCTGTCCTCCTCTAAAACTGTTCAGTTATCTGTAGCAGACATCAACGACAACCCACCTGTGTTTGAGGAACAGTCGTACAGCGCATATGTGAGTGAAAATAACAAACCTGGCTCCACTTTATGTTCCGTTAGTGCTCGAGACCCCGACTGGAGACAGAACGGTACAGTGATTTATTCTCTGTTATCCGGTGAGGTGAACGGTGCCCCGGTGTCCTCCTATGTGTCAGTGAACGGAGACACGGGGGTGATCCACGCTGTGAGGTCGTTTGATTATGAACAGTTCAGGAGCTTTAAAGTTCACGTGATGGCCAGAGACAACGGTTCTCCTCCACTCAGCAGCAACGTGACCGTGAGTGTGTTCATATCGGATGTGAATGATAACTCTCCTCAGATATTGTACCCCGCCCCGGAGGGCAACTCCTTCATGACCGAGCTGGTCCCCAAAGCTGCACACGGAGGCTCTCTGGTGTCCAAAGTGATAGCGGTGGACGCGGACTCCGGACAGAACGCCTGGCTGTCCTATCATATAGTGAAATCCACTGATCCGGGACTTTTCACTATTGGTGTCCACAGCGGAGAGATCAGGACCCAGCGGGACATTTCTGAGTCTGACAGCATGAAACAGAACCTTATTGTGTCAGTGAAAGATAACGGACAGCCCTCTCTGTCTGCCACCTGTTCCATGTATTTATTGATTTCTGATAACTTGGCTGAGGTGCCAGAACTGAAGGACATTTCTTATGATGAGAAGAACTCCAAACTGACCTCTTATCTGATCATCGCGCTGGTGTGTGTGTCCACCTTTTTTCTGACCTTCATCATCATCATCATGGGTGTGAGGTTTTGTCGCAGGAGAAAGCCCAGACTGTTGTTTGACGGAGCAGTCGCCATCCCCAGCGCTTATCTTCCTCCTAATTACGCAGATGTTGACGGCACAGGGACTTTACGCAGCGCTTACAATTATGACGCCTACCTGACGACAGGGTCTCGAACCAGTGACTTTAAGTTTGTGTCATCTTACAATGACAACACACTGCCTGCTGACCAGACTCTGAGGAAAAGTCCTTCAGACTTTGCTGATGTTTTTGGAGACTGTGATGAATCTCCTGAGGTAGGAACATTCGCAAAATATCCCCAGGCCTTATTAAACAGGAATCTACCAGTTTGAAATTAAATTACATAGGCGTTAGGCTATACTGGTAAAGAGTTGTCAAGAACTTTGTGTGTCCTTGATTAGTACAACTTTAGCCAAAAGTTCCTTCAAGGTTCATTCGTTTGGTGTTTTTTATTTATTCCCTCGTTGGGAGCACTGGTGTTTTCATGACCTAACTGCACATGCTTTTTTTTAAACAGATGATTTTCAGAACTTCTTCCTTGAGTATATGTTGTTTTGCATTATTTTATTTTCCTCCATCCTTCTTTTTTAAATGTTTTTTTCCTTTAGTTCAGTTTTGTATTTTGTATTTGACAAAAATGATTGCTGTTGTGACTTGAACTTTCAGTGTCAGATTATTGAATTATTCTTCTGATTCTGGAGGAAAAGGAATTCCTGCGTTTTTCTCCTGTGGTGTGGCTTACTTTTTGCATAGGTTTATTCAGTCAATTTACATATGTTGTTCTGCAAAAAGTGTCATATATATACTGTATTTATATATACATATATATATATATTTATTTATATTTATATATATATACATACAGTATATGAGTTACCTTTTGGTATTCTGTTGAATCCTGAGGTGTTTTGAATATTGTTTCTTACTTCAACCCCTTCACCCTTGTATTGTGCTGTCTTCAGCGCTCTTAACCTCGTACTTCTAGTTGGCCTTTACTTCATATTGTTGGTCAATGTTCATGCTGAATATAAAAAAACTGTTTCTAAATGCAGGTTTCCTCATTTGTTTTTGTGTTTATCCGTTGACCAAGAAAAGGGTTGTGAGCCTTTGTCTTTAGAGATGAATCTAGTTTTCTGTGTCTCTGTCCATGGTGCTACTATTTTGTGTTTGGTATATATAAGTGTTATCATTTTTGTCTGTGTTAGTGTCATACTTTGCGAATGCATTCTGTGTGCAGTGCAATCACTAATACATACTTTATTCAGACCTCGAACATAGTCAAGATTGTCTGTGAGATTCATTCCTTTAGAGGAATATATGGCATATTTTTTTGCGTTGCTGATGTTAACGGGTAACTATTGAAGCATATCAGGAATATGTTGATATGATGCTTGTGTCCCTGGCAGTGGAGTAATGGATCATTGATCTCATAAGTGTGCTCTGTAGGGATATGCATTGTTCTGTTTTCTCCAGAATATATTTTTTGGTCACCTTGAAGCCTTATGTGAGCCAAATGAGGGATCAAGTTCAACCATTCTTCTATACATTGGTGTTCATGTTTTTTTTCCCTGCATATAGATGACAAGGTGTCATTTTTAAAGCTAGTTTATTCTGCTGTTGTTTATCTAGTCAATGTTTTATTACAAAATGATTTACAACAAGTAGTCAAAAATTGCATGGAGAACAACAACATATCCACATTTGAAAACAGGTTGATACCACCACACAGTTTACATTGTAACCAAGTTCTTTACAATAAGATTCCATAAATAGACTTTTCATAATAAATCGTGTTTTTTATTTAATCACTAAATTTTTGTTTAAGATCTTATGGCTAGGTTTACTAAAATGCAATTTACAATAATTGCCCTTGAAAGCATTTCTAGATAGCTCTGATCCTTGACTATAATCCGTAGAAACATATGATTATGTTATCTATCAGATTGCGATATCTGTCCCTGGAGTGGAATGACGGAAACCTTCTTGCTGTTTTTATTTAAGAGTGACATATATTTTGAAGGAGGAGGGCTTCATGGTTCTTTCATTAAATTAGTTTAAAAAAAGCAGTTACTGTAAAATGTGCTAAACTGGCCTCTTTTGTTTGAGCTTTGTTGTTTTTTTGGTTGCTTTCTGGTTTGTCCTACAGTTTAGAAACCAGTGAATTAAAGATAAAAAAAAAAAACAAGTTGCTTGTATTTTAAATAACAAAAGATTTAGTTTTCCTTGGGTGAGCTTCTAATTTCACTATGAAGGCTCTTAATCACTCTTTTGTCTGCTTTGTTCTTCAGAGGATTCCTATTACAAGATCTGTTCTGTATCTTTTTTATTTGTTACATCAGGTGTTTTGTATACATTTGTTGATTTGGAAGATGGCAGTGTTGTATACAGACATTTCACTTTAATGTAGTGACAGAGTAGTGTGTTGCCAGAGCAAGTTTTCTGACTTTGACTGACTTTGATTTTTGCATTAAGTTTTCCACTCCATTGTTTTTTTAGTTGTCCGTTCTGATATTCAGTGTTAGTACGACTAAGTCAGAATTAAACAAATGATCTGTTTAAAAACTAAACAAATATCTCCTCTTTCCCTGGAACTAAAAAAACGACTTCTTAACACAACTACCAAATGATCATAAGATGTCCGAACAAGTAGCAATAGAGAAATCTACTTCTTATTACAAACTTGTTCATCTGTAGAGCTTTCAGATTTAGTTTGCTTACACTTAAGTCACAGTACAGTCCAATATACCTTTGATAACAACACTCTATCATGAGATTAAACTGCAGCCACTATAAAGAATACAATTTGAAATTGTATAAATTCAAAGGCTATCAAATAGAGACATTCCACTTCTTAATGTGGAATTTCTTGATCCCACAGCAAACAATAGTGTAAAGTATGCCAAATTTGTGCAACCCTGTTATATGATGACAAAAGTGACTATTATTTGATGTGGTTATCATATCTATTGTAAACATGCACTTAATGTTTTTGATATAGTTATGAGCAGCGCCCTGCAATCATACATGTGCTACAATATATTCAGTGTATATTTGCGAAAAAGAAAAGTGCTGATGCAGCCACATGTCTAAATTGTTCTTTGCCAACATATTAAATTATCCAAGTGGAACCAAATTCAAGTAAAAAATAAATCAATGCATCTTTTTACTGATCAACTAATGGGACTACAGCCTTGCAGACATTTTTACCAAACCACATACAATCACAATAGACTGAAGCAATGTTTGTTCCTGCCAGATGAATCCCTCTGATAAAATTAGGAAAAATAAAATCAACATTCTTTTTAGAGGATTATCAGATTTTACATGTGGAGTGCAAGTGAAGGAAATACTTCTTCCATTGTCTTATTAACAAAGACCTATGTCTGCTTTGTTTTGGTGGCATATTATTTAAATATAAAATGTTACTTTAAGTGTGTTGACTTTGACAAAAAAAAGACAATGTAAGCACATTTGGACTAATATGGTTAAAGGTATAGCTTTCATATATGGTGACCTTCTGAAGGTCTAACTTAACAAGGTGTAGCTGTCTTCAGACATTGTTTTGAGTCTGTCTTTCATAAATAGTTTGGTAGATAGATGAAAAGTATGGATGTACTAATGATCACAAACTGTGAAATTGTTGTCTTACAGCTGCAGGTTGTATAGAAAATAAAGAACTGGAGAAATAAACTGAACTGAACGCACAGTAGTTTTTGTTGTGCATGGTTTCCTGATTTGGACTGATTGTTAACGACTGTTTAGATGTTTTGAACTCCAAAGTGAAGTAAATATTTTATGTTGAATGTTCTTGGTCCTGTTACTTCTGATTCCAACTCACGGTGTCGCTATACACCAACCTTTAAACCCGTTTAACTCCTCTGTCCATTGTGGAAATACGTTTTTGTTCGCCTTTTGCGTCTGGATAGAGGCGACATCACATTGAACTGAGGATATTAGGGTTGCGAGTTAGGAGAGTGCAGTGTCGATTCTTCGTCGTCTTAGCATTTTACATCTGAAGATGGATGCAAATATTATTGTTTTTCAAACGTGCAGCTTCGTCTTCCTTATTTTGCGTGGCGCAGATGGAGACATGAGCTATTCTTTTCCAGAGGAGATGAAACGAGGATCGATTATTGGAAATATAGCCAAGGATCTCGGGCTGCAGACGGGTGCTCTGTCTAACAGGAGAGCCCGCATTGACACGGATGGGACGGATAAACGTTATTGTGACATAAACCTGAATAACGGAGAGCTGGTTGTTGCGGACAGGATTGACCGAGAGGGGCTCTGTGGCGAAAAGGCTTCGTGTGTCTTAAAACAGGAGCTTGTGCTGGAGAATCCTCTCGAGCTTCATCGGATAACTCTACACATTCAAGATATAAATGATAACTCCCCACAGTTTGATGAAGAATTGATCGAAATAGAAATCAGGGAGTCTGCAGACAGAGGAGCTCGTTTTGTGGTAGAGGAGGCGCATGATGCGGATGTAGGACAAAACTCAGTTCAGCAGTACAGCCTAAAAAAGAATGACAATTTCATTTTGGCTGCTAATGGAAACACAATCGAGCTTGTTCTTGATAAAGAGCTCGATCGAGAGAAGCAAAAAGAGATCAATTTGCTCCTCACAGCTTTAGATGGAGGCTCTCCTCAGAGATCAGGTACAGTAGTGATACACGTCACTGTCCTGGATGCTAATGATAACGCCCCAGTGTTCAGTCAGGCCGTCTATAAAGCCAGTCTGCCTGAAAACTCTCCTTTAGATACTGTGGTGGTCACAGTGAGTGCTGCTGATGCAGACGAGGGAGTTAATGGAGAGGTGACTTATGACATTGGACATGTTACTGAAGATGTGAAGAAGATATTTAGTATTGATCGTAAGTTGGGTGAAATAAAAGTAATTGGTGCTGTTGACTATGAAACTACTTCATCTTTTGAAATACGCGTTAAAGCAAAAGATGGTTTGGGTCTTTCATCTTACGCTAAGGTGATCATTTATATCACTGATGTGAATGACAACGCCCCTGTAGTCAGTTTGAAATCCCTGATGAATCCCATACCTGAGGACACCCCACCTGGTACAGAGGTGGGCATCATTAACGTGCAGGATAGAGACTCTGAGACTAACAGACAGGTCCGCTGCTCCATTCAGCAAAATGTCCCTTTTAAGTTGGTTCCTTCTATTAAAAACTATTATTCTGTGGTGAGCACAGGACAACTGGACCGTGAACTAGTGTCTGATTACAACATTACAATCACTGCCACTGACGAGGGCTCTCCACCTCTGTCCTCCTCTAAAACTGTTCAGTTATCTGTAGCAGACATCAACGACAACCCACCTGTGTTTGAGGAACAGTCGTACAGCGCATATGTGAGTGAAAATAACAAACCTGGCTCCACTTTATGTTCCGTTAGTGCTCGAGACCCCGACTGGAGACAGAACGGTACAGTGGTTTATTCTCTGTTATCCGGTGAGGTGAACGGTGCCCCGGTGTCCTCCTATGTGTCAGTGAACGGAGACACGGGGGTGATCCACGCTGTGAGGTCGTTTGATTATGAACAGTTCAGGAGCTTTAAATTGCACGTGATGGCCAGAGACAACGGTTCTCCTCCACTCAGCAGCAACGTGACCGTGAGTGTGTTCATATCGGATGTGAATGATAACTCTCCTCAGATATTGTACCCCGCCCCGGAGGGCAACTCCTTCATGACCGAGCTGGTCCCCAAAGCTGCACACGGAGGCTCTCTGGTGTCCAAAGTGATAGCGGTGGACGCGGACTCCGGACAGAACGCCTGGCTGTCCTATCATATAGTGAAATCCACTGATCCGGGACTTTTCACTATTGGTGTCCACAGCGGAGAGATCAGGACCCAGCGGGACATTTCTGAGTCTGACAGCATGAAACAGAACCTTATTGTGTCAGTGAAAGATAACGGACAGCCCTCTCTGTCTGCCACCTGTTCCATGTATTTACTGATTTCTGATAACTTGGCTGAGGTGCCAGAACTGAAGGACATTTCTTATGATGAGAAGAACTCCAAACTGACCTCTTATCTGATCATCGCGCTGGTGTGTGTGTCCACCTTTTTTCTGACCTTCATCATCATCATCATGGGTGTGAGGTTTTGTCGCAGGAGAAAGCCCAGACTGTTGTTTGACGGAGCAGTCGCCATCCCCAGCGCTTATCTTCCTCCTAATTACGCAGATGTTGACGGCACAGGGACTTTACGCAGCGCTTACAATTATGACGCCTACCTGACGACAGGGTCTCGAACCAGTGACTTTAAGTTTGTGTCATCTTACAATGACAACACACTGCCTGCTGACCAGACTCTGAAGAAAAGTCCTTCAGACTTTGCTGATGTTTTTGGAGACTGTGATGAATCTCCTGAGGTAGGAACATTCGCAAAATATCCCCAGGCCTTATTAAACAGGAATCTACCAGTTTGAAATTAAATTACATAGGCGTTAGGCTATACTAGTAAAGAGTTGTCAAGAACTATGTGTGTCCTTGATTAGTACAACTTTAGCCAAAAGTTCCTTCAAGGTTCATTAGTTTGTTGTTTTTCATTTGTTCCCTCGTTGGGAGCACTGGTGTTTTCATGACATAACTGCACATGCTTTTTTTTTTCTTAAACAGATGATTTTCAGGACTTCTTCCTTGGGTATATGTTGTCTTGCATTATTTTATTTTCCTCCATTCTTCTTTTTTAAATGTTTTTTTCCTTTAGTTCAGTTTTGTATTTTGTATTTGACAAAAATGATTGCTGTTGTGACTTGAACTTTCAGTGTCAGATTATTGAATTATTCTTCTGATTCTGGAGGAAAAGGAATTCCTGCGTTTTTCTCCTGTGGTGTGGCTTACTTTTTGCATAGGTTTATTCAGTCAATTTACATATGTTGTTCTGCAAATAGTGTCATATATATACCGTATATGTGTATATATATATATATATATACATATATACATACAGTATATGAGTTACCTTTTGGTATTCTGTTGAATCCTGAGGTGTTTTGAATTGTTTCTTACTTCAACCCCTTCACCCTTGTATTGTGCTGTCCTCAGTGCTCTTAAGCTCGTACTTCTAGTTGGCCTTTACTTCATATTGTTGGTCAATGTTCATGCTGATTATAAAAAAAACTGTTTCTAAATGCAGGTTTCCCCATTTGTTTTTGTGTTCATCCGTTGACCAAGAAAAGGGTTGTGAGCCTTTGTCTTTAGAGATGAATCTGGTTTTATGTGTCTCTGTCCATGGTGCTACTATTTTGTGTTTGGTATATACAAGTGTTATCACTTTTGTCTGTGTTAGTGTCATACTTTGCTAATGCATTCCTTGTGCAGTGCAATCACTAATACATGCTTTATTCAGACCTTGAACATAGTCAAGATTGTCTGTGAGATTCATTCCTTTAGAGGAATATATGGCATATTTATTTGCGTTGCTGATGTTAACAGGTCACTATTGAAGCATATCAGGAATATGTTGATATGATGCTTGTGTCCCTGGCAGTGGAGTAATGGATCATTGATCTCATAAGTGTGCTCTGTAGGGATATGCATCGTTCTGTTTTCTCCAGAATATATTTTTTGGTCACCTTCAAGCCTCATGTGAGCCAAATGAGGGATCAAGTTCAACCATTCTTCTATACATTGGTGTTCATGTTTTTTTTCCCTGCATATAGATGACAAGGTGTCATTTTTAAAGCTCCAGTGTATCCTGCTGTTGTTTATCTAGTCAATGTTTTATTACAAAATGATTTACAATTAGAAGTCAAAAATTGCATGGAGAACAACAACATATCCACATTTGAAAACAGGTTGATACCACCACACAGTTTACATTGTAACCAAGTTCTTTACAATAAGATTCCATTATTAGACTTTTCATAATAAATCATGTTTTTAATTTAATCACCAAGTTTTTTTTAAAGATCTTATGGCTAGGTTTACTAAAATGCAATTTACAATAATTGCCCTTGAAAGCATTTCTTGAAAGCGCTGATCTTTGACTATATTCCATAGAAATATATATTCAATTTATATATTATATATATTTTGAAGGAGGAGGGCTTCATGTTTCTTTCATTAAATTAGTTTAAAAAAAACGCAGTTACTGTAAAATGTGCTAAACTGGCCTCTTTTGTTTGAGCTTTGTGGTGTTTGATTGCCTTCTGGTTTGACCTACACTTTAGAAACCAGTGAAATAAAGATAGTGAATTAAAGATAAGACATTTTTCACTTTAATGTAGTGACAGAGTAGTGTGTTGCCAGAGCAAGTTTTCTGAGTTTGACTGACTTTGATTTTTGCATTAAGTTTTCCACTCCATTGTTTTTTTAGTTGTTCGTCCTGATATTCAGTGTTAGTACAACTAAGTCAGAATTAAATAAATGATCTGTTTAAAAACTAAACATATATCTCCTCTTTCCGTCGAACTGACTTCTTAACACAACTACCAAATGATGGGATGTCTGAGCAAGTAGCAAAAAAGAAATCTCCTTCTTATTACAAACTTGTTCATCTGCAGAGCTTTCAGATTTGGTTTCCTTACACTTAAGTCACAGTACAGTCCAATATACCTTTGATAACAATACTGTATCATGAGATTAAACTGCAGCCACTATAAAGAATACAATTTGAAATCGTATAAATTCAAAAGGCTATCGAATAGAGACATTCCACTTCTTAATGTGGAATTTCTTGATCCCACAGCAAACAAAAGTGTAAAGAATGCCAAATTTGTGCAACCCTGTTATATGATGACAAAAGTGACTATTATTTGAATTGGTTATCATATCTATTGTAAACATGCACTTAATGTATTTGATACAGTTATGAGCAGCGTCCTGCAATCATACATGTGCTACAATATATTCAGAGTGTATATTTGCGAAAAAGAAAAGTGCTGATGCAGTCACATGTCTAAATTGTTCTTTGCCAACATATCAAATTATCCAAATGGAACCAAATTCAAGTAAAAAATAAATCAATATATTTTTTTCCTGATCAACTAATGGGACTGCAGCCTTGCAAATTTTAAATTTTTACCAAACCACATACAATCACAATAGACTGAAGCAATGTTTGTTCCTGCCAGATGAATCCCTCTGATAAAATTAGGAAATATAAAACCAACATTCTTTTTAGAGGATTATCAGATTTTACATGTGGAGTGCAAGTGAAGGAAATACTTCTTCCATTGTCTTATTTAACAAAGACCTATGTCTGCTTTGTTTTGGTGGCAAATTATTTCAATGAAGAATGTCACTTTAAGTGTGTTGACTTTGACAAAAAAAGACAATGTAAGCACATTTGGACTAATATGGTTAAAGGTATAGCTTTCATATATGGTGACCTTCTGAAGGTCTAACTTAACAAGGTGTAGCTGTCTTCAGACATTGTTTTGATTTTGTCTTTCATAAATAGTTTGGTAGATAGATGAAAAGTATGGATGTACTAATGATCACAAACTGTGAAATTGTTGTCTTACAGCTGCAGGTTGTATAGAAAATAAAGAACTGGAGAAATAAACTGTGCTGAATGCACAGTAGTTTTTGTCGTGCATGGTTTCCTGATTTGGACTGATTGTTAACGACTGTTTAGATGTTTTGAACTCCAAAGTACAGTAAATGTTTTATGTTGAATGTTCTTGGTCTTGTTACTTCTGATTCCAACTCACGGTGTCGCTATACACCAACCTTTAAACCCGTTTAACTCCTCTGTCCATTGTGGAAATACGTTTTTGTTCGCCTTTTGCGTCTGGATAGAGGCGACATTACATTGAACTGAGGATATTAGGGTTGCGAGTTAGGAGAGTGCTGTGTCGATTCTTCGTCGTCTTAGCATTTTACATCTGAAGATGGATGCAAATATTATTGTTTTTCAAACGTGCAGCTTCGTCTTCCTTATTTTGCGTGGCGCATATGGAGACATGAGCTATTCTTTTCCAGAGGAGATGAAACGAGGATCGATTATTGGAAATATAGCCAAGGATCTCGGGCTGCAGACGGGTGCTCTGTCTAACAGGAGAGCCCGCATTGACACGGATGGGACGGATAAACGTTATTGTGACATAAACCTGAATAACGGAGAGCTGGTTGTTGCGGACAGGATTGACCGAGAGGGGCTCTGTGGCGAAAAGGCTTCGTGTGTCTTAAAACAGGAGCTTGTGCTGGAGAATCCTCTCGAGCTCCATCGGATAACTCTACACATTCAAGATATCAACGATAACTCCCCACAGTTTAAGGAAGAATTGATCGAAATAGAAATCAGGGAGTCTGCAGACAGAGGAGCTCGTTTTGTGATAGAGGAGGCGCATGATGCGGATGTAGGACAAAACTCAGTTCAGCAGTACAGCCTGAAAAAGAATGACAATTTCATTTTGGCTGCTAATGGAAACACAATCGAGCTTGTTCTTGATAAAGAGCTCGATCGAGAGAAGCAAAAAGAGATCAATTTGCTCCTTACAGCTTTAGATGGAGGCTCTCCTCAGAGATCAGGTACAGTAGTCATACACGTCACTGTCCTGGATGCTAATGATAACGCCCCAGTGTTCAGTCAGGCCGTCTATAAAGCCAGTCTGCCTGAAAACTCTCCTTTAGATACTGTGGTGGTCACAGTGAGTGCTACTGATGCAGACGAGGGGGTTAATGGAGAGGTGACTTATGAATTTGGACATGTTACTGAAGATGTGAAGAAGATATTTAGTATTGATCGTAAGGGTGGGTGAAATAAAAGTAATTGGTGCTGTTGACTATGAAACCACTTCATCCTTTGAAATACGCGTTAAAGCAAAAGATGGTTTGGGTCTTTCATCTTACGCTAAGGTGATCATTTCTATCACTGATGTGAATGACAACGCCCCTGTAGTCAGTTTGAAATCCCTGATGAATCCCATACCTGAGGACACCCCACCTGGTACAGAGGTGGGCATCATTAACGTGCAGGATAGAGACTCTGAGACTAACAGACAGGTCCGCTGCTCCATTCAGCAGAATGTCCCTTTTAAGTTGGTTCCTTCTATTAAAAACTATTATTCTGTGGTGAGCACAGGACAACTGGACCGTGAACTAGTGTCTGATTACAACATTACAATCACTGCCACTGACGAGGGCTCTCCACCTCTGTCCTCCTCTAAAACTGTTCAGTTATCTGTAGCAGACATCAACGACAACCCACCTGTGTTTGAGGAACAGTCGTACAGCGCATATGTGAGTGAAAATAACAAACCTGGCTCCACTTTATGTTCCGTTAGTGCTCGAGACCCCGACTGGAGACAGAACGGTACAGTGGTTTATTCTCTGTTATCCGGTGAGGTGAACGGTGCCCCGGTGTCCTCCTATGTGTCTGTGAACGGAGACACGGGGGTGATCCACGCTGTGAGGTCGTTTGATTATGAACAGTTCAGGAGCTTTAAGGTGCACGTGATGGCCAGAGACAACGGTTCTC